CGGGCGAAGACTGTCGGGACGAGCTGGCTGATGCCGATGCCGATCCCGTTAAGTATGTCGCTCAAAGCTCCTGGCAAAGGGAATCGGAGACTGAGCAAGATGCTGGAACGGTACACGCCGATGCAGCCCGGCGGGGGGCAGTGAATACGCTCTCCGGCGTAGGGGGCGAAAACTCTTACTCCGGCACCGAAGCTAGCCTTTCCCCGCAGCTGGGCAAGATCGACGTCCCTTAATACCGACGCCGTCGTCCAGGCAGTTGCCGAGGCAACAGACGGCCACACACGCGCGGGGCGGCGCCAACATCCAAGGGGAGCCGTGGTCGCGCTTTCGACAGCGGCATCCGTCTCGGAATCCTCACGGCCCATAGGGACCCGCTCTCTCCCATGGGTGTCACCCCGAAGTGTCTCGTCGACCAGCTCGGCATCGACGTCCGAATCCTCGGAGGGAACAGCGCAATCCTCTTTCTCAACTTCGCCGCCACCGGACTGATCGGAGCCGAGGTCGATAATCTCGACAGTGGGAAAATCCGAAGGACCCTCTCGGCGCGGGCCCACCCCCGCCGTCGCTGACGTAACGCGAACGGCCGAGATCGGAGTGACCCTAAGTGGTCGCATCTTCTCCGCCGTCGGAGGGGAGTAAACCACCAACTCCCCCGTCTCCTCCGCCGTAAATCCGCCATCTCCGGCGGGGAGGTTCGTAGCGGGCCCAGAAGAACTCGAAATAATCGAAATTAAAAAGGAAGGTTTCGGGAAAATGGAATTACCGGTTTGGAGATCTCCCAGAAGCTCGAAAAAACCTTGAAATTGCTCTGAAAATCCGCTCGGAAGTCTGGGTGCTCGAGAATTCGAATGCTCAGAAATTGTGAAAGTAAAACTCGTCGAAGAAGAAGGAGGCGGATATATATACACACAGAGAACCAATCACAACAACACACATGGCGCAGCATTTAAAATTCAAAATCAATGATATAATCCAACGGTTGGGAGCAAAATGATCCAACGGTTCGTAAACGGCCGCGTGGAAGCCACGCGCCCCAAAAGTCGCCGTTTCATTGAGACGACACGTCGTTTGGAGAGCACCAATTAATGAGCGACACGTGTAAAGGTTCTGAACCGGCACACCTTTTCGTAACCGACAAGAAGCGTAACGGTCACGACGCATTAAATGAGACGTCGCTTCAGGTCTGAAGATAACGGGCAAATGGTGGTTGCGATTTGCTCAAGTCCAAGTCCTACGCCGACCTCAGACGTATTCTAAGATGACGGCCTCACAGAGGATGCCGAGTACACCCTCTCTGAGCCCGGGGGCCTGTATGTTGACATCCGAGTTCGCCGATAAGACCGAACCGGACAACACGATTCAGAGAGCCAAACCGGAGACCCGGTCCACCCATAAGGTGCCGAGCTGGACCGGAAAATTTTTTGACCCAGACGTCCCCATGTGTCCGCCTGCTAGTCCGGCGTTTGCGACTACGAGACCCAGATGCCGACCTGAAGAGTGACGGTCTGGAAGAAAGGTTCCCCAGGGTCGGAGGGACAAGTAAAGAAAAGGTGCCGACCTGGAGTCCCGTGACGGGCTACTGTAATGAAGGTGTCGACCTCGATAGTATTATAATAATGCCACTTGGAGGATAATCATTGGCTGATGGATGGGACGCCCTAGCCTGTTGACCTACTTCCCCTAGCCAAGACATAAAGCCTGTCAGCATTAAATGCCCGTCAGACAATGATGAGGAAAACCTCAAATCGCATTAAATTCTGTCAGGGAGGCGCCGAACTACTCTGCAAAAAACACTGTACGACAAGATTGGTGAACAGTACCTGAACAGTAGCACATTTAAGGCTACTATAAATAGCAACCCACTTCATTTATTTTGGGTTGTTGAATCTCAACTGTAAAAACTATCTCTCTCTACTTTCTCTCTCTTGAACTCGTGTGATTATTCTGTAACAATTTGTAAGGATATTACAAGTGCCGACCTCGTACGAGAGGCCGACCTCGTGATCTATCAATAAAACTGCAATTAAACCGTATTTCCTTATCTTTTCCTTATTCTCTTCTCATTATTTAATCTCTTTAACCGTTGACCGGAAACGCCCGTCAACAGAAGGCAAGGATTTTTCACGTCCTTTGTCATCCAAAAAGCAACTACAAACATGTCAACGCCGACTCTTTTTGAAGACAATGGTGTCCCCTTGTTCCGCGCCATTTTCGTAGAGGAAGGTACTCCATGTTCCTCTAAATAATAACATTGACCTGGTGAGAGCAGCAACGACTCTACAGATCGTACCCAAATTGTTTTTTAACTAACACACTGTTATATCAATTATCTTCGCTTGTCTGTCACATATCATATTTCATTTTGACTTTATCAAATATATTTGTCTTTCTGTCTCATAGTTTATCGAATAATTTGTTTCGCACTTTATCAACTATTTTCGCTTTTTGTCTCATATTTCATCGCATAATTTCGTACTTTATCAATTATTTTATGTCGCATAGTTTATTGCATAAATATTCTGCAATTTATCAATTATTTTTGTCCGTTTGTCACATAGCTCATCACATAATTTATTGCGCACTTTATCAGTTATCTTCGCATATATGCTGCATAGTGTATTGCATAATTTGTTTTACACATTGTGGGTGAAAAAATTAACTTATTATTTAGCGCTGTGGAAAACTTATTCTGTTTTCATATCGAGGTGAATATAGCTCTGTCGTCTTAAATCAACTATAATATATATGGTTTGATCTCTTGCTGCCTTTTGAGAGAATAGTTGTCTAAAGGAATTTTACAAAGAGGAAATAGTTATTTATACCCTATTCTGAAGACTGAATAAGTTTTTCACACCGTTGGATTATAAGTTAATTTCTTAACCCCAGAAAGTGTGAAACACATTATGCCGCAATTATGCGACAAGTTTGCGGATGGCATTGCTTGAAAGTTAAAAACGCAAAGGCATTCGCATAACTTTTGCACTTTCTAGGTTGAATATGCGACAGTTATGTGAACCATTCGCATTTTTCGGGGTGAAAATGTTAAATTGTTAGCGGGAAAGATGAAAATTTAGGCTATGTTTGGTAGCCAAATAAGGTAGCTTATAGCTTATTTGATTAGCTAATAAGCTTTCTGTATTCAAATAAGTCTCTTTTGGCATGATGAACTTTTTTAAAAAGCTCGAGATTATCTCCTAAGCTTCTTTGGGTAGCTATTCAAATAAATTCGTTGGAAATTTTATTCCAATTAGCTTATCAGCTAATTTTACCAGACATTTTTATCATATAAGTTAATTTTTCAACCATAAGTCATAAGTTATAAGCTATTAGCTCAAAAATCACATATAACCTATAAGCTAGCTTATCAGCTATAGATAGCTAACTTATCAATTAGTTTTGTCAAACATAGCCTTCATATATATTTTAAGGTAGGGGTGTAAAAAAATTATCTCTTTTTCAAAATTACGAAACTTACTCTAGCACAATATTGTATATTTGTTAAAGAGGGGTGTCCACAGTGATTATTATGCATTGAAAGTCATACCATCATATGATTTCATATTATAAATATTGTGAGTATGTTTATGTTTGTGACTGGGTTGAAATTAAACAAGAACATAACAAATAGACTGAATGTGCTATCCTCGTAATCCCTAGAGCATATACTCTAAGCTACAACTGCACTCATCAATTACACACGGGTAATAATTCAGTCACAGAAAAAAATACAGGAAGAAATTATTACTATTTGATCCGCAAGAACATAACAAATATATCAGACTGAATGTGCTATCCTTGTATTCCCTAGAGCATATGCTGTACGTTACAATTACACTCATCAATACATAGGGGTAATAATTCACTCACTGAGAAAAAAATACAAGATGAAATTATTACAATTTGATCCGCAAATCTAAACTTCAAAACATGTAAAAGTGTGAAGTTTTAGCAAAAACTACAATTGCACTTGTCAAATGTCAACAACACAAAGAGGGTGATAATTCACTCACTAAATAAACAATACAATAAATTATTACAATTTGATACGCAAAGGGCTGATGATTCCACTAACTAAAAACAATACAAGATGAAATTATTACAATCATAACTCGGTTCTTATTATTATTTTTTTTTTTCGAATGATGCATTCAACCAAAAGAAAAGTCTTACAACCCGCGAGACTAAGTAGTCCCGAATACAACAATAGGAGAACCACCACAAGCATGGCCTAGACTAAAACATACCAACTCGAACTGTAATGCTCCGTTGCTTTTAAAGAAAAATTCTCAAGTTTTCATAAATAGGAATAAATTTTTCGAAAATTATTTTTAAATTTGAAATTATTTTCCGAGCATTACTCAAAACCAAATCTCATTTTACACTTAGCTTAAGACACAACTTAAGCCCTTGGGAACTCAAGCCCAACTTCACATCACTACGACAATACCAAACATAATGAAAACCCAAATCACAAAGTGTCGAATAAAAGTCAAACAGATCAACATTTCACAACCAGACATGGCCACGGGCCGATCCGGCCCGTCGACCCGGACCAAAATTGCCCCCGGACTGGCCCTGAACCAGCCACGTAAGGGCCGGTTCGTCTAACCGGACCGCAAGGGCCGCGGTTCGGTCCCGGTTGGCCTATTTTTATTTTTTTGTCTCGGCTGTCCGATCCGGGCCGCGAGCCGGGCAACGGTCATATTTTTTATTTTTTATTATTAGTAAACCGGCGGGACCGGGCCGGTCAATCTCCGGTTCGGTCCCGGGTCAGGCTTTTGTGGACCGTCGGCCCGCTCGGACCCGTTAACTGGCCATGTCTATCTAGAATAGTCCAACCACCTCTCTCTCTCTCTTACAACACTCTCTCCCCGTCAATCTCCCTCTCTCACAATTACACACACGCACACACTACCGACACACAAACATACCCATAGTAAAGAGGTGGCACCGTCGTGACCTCCTCGCCGGCTCCGGCATACACACAGTAACGAGGCGGCATGCACACAAACACTTACTTGAAGGGCCGCCGCATCTCCCACACACACACGCACTACACACACTTACACACATTGCAAAAACTCGCACGGCCAAATGCCGGACGCCGGCCACCTCTAGCCTCGCCGCCGTCATCTTCATCAACCACCGCAGTTCCTGCCGTCATCGTCCCCAAATGCCGCAGTTCATGTCCTTCGCCACCTCAGTCGCCGGAGATCAACGTCGTCGTCTTCCTGTCCCTCAGCCGCTGCCCGTCTTGCCATCGCCGCAGACTCTCTTCCCGTCACTGTACGCCGGCAGCGGACCACCGCTGAGACTATGAGAGGATGAAGTCGAGATATTCATATAATTGTGGCAGGTTGGATTTTGTCAGGCCGATGAGAACGGCGGCGGCGGCGGCAAGGCCGTATTCAGACTTCTCTTCTCTCAAGGCGGCGGTTCACTGTGGTTTTTTTTTTTTATACTATTTTTGCAGACATATAATTGTGGTTTGATATTTGAAAATTTTATATCTCTTAAGGTCTTAGTGGCAATTTTCATAAATTAGAATATATTACAATTAGGTCCATGTGTCAAATATATAATTAATCAAAACATAATTATTATTTTAATCCACATCACACAATGCACAATTGCATAGGTTTCAACTGTAGAGAAAACTTAATTTAATGTGTGAAAATTAAATAATGCACAATGCACACAATACAGTGTGAAAAATAAATAATGCACACAATACACAGTGCACAATGCACGATCGAGATTTTTAAAAGTAATGTTACAAATTTTAATATAAAATATTAAAATAATATAAAATAATAACAAATGTGTGACAGATCACATATTAGTGACTGAAGTAATGCACATTAGTGTTAGACATATTACACATTAATATTTGTCAGATTGCACCTTAGCGATCAAATTTGAAATAACTATTGTCTGAATTTATATATCTCGATTACTTTTAAAATTTAAATTATTTTGACATCGATAATGTCAAGTGAAATAAAGTTATTTCGATAATTTTAAAATTTATATTTTTTATTATTTCAATCAAAATTGAAAAAGTCGAGCTATATGAAAAATATTATTATTATGATTTATATATTTTTATGTATTACGATTGGACATTATAATTATATGGATTGCACATTAATGACTATATGACTGCACAATATTAAAAATCAACCAACTAAAATTGTTGGTTCGAAATTTTATATTTCGGATCAAATTATTACTTTTATTATTTTTCTACTTCTAAAAACTCAGTAAAACTCAGTAATGCACCTTATAAATCAACACCTTGCACTTTATAAATCAACACGTTGCACTTTATAAGATAACACGATGCACTTTATCACGACACTCTAACACATTGCACTTTATAAATCAACACGTTGCACTTTATACAATAACACTTTGCACTTTATAAAATAACACGATTCACTTTATCACGACACTCCACAATTTCATCGATAACTCCCGCAGAAATACCACACAATAATTTTTTTTTGTTTTTATAAAACTCGATTATGTCAGTCCGATTTAAGTTTTTTTGTTTTTTTTTTTGTTTTTACTTAACCGAACAATCGAGCTATGTAAAGAAATATCATTATTTTTATTATTATATTTGTTATGTAAATAATTATTTATTTCAACTACAAAAACATTAATTCATTAAATATTGAATAAAAATATTCAATATTAAGCTCCTAAAATCTATCAAATTGTAATATATCGACTAGTCTTCACCAATAGAAATTGCATCTGTAAATTGCGCTTAAGCTTCTTGAACAAAATTTTGACCAAAAGAAATTGCATTTGTAAATTGCACTTAATTTTCTTGAACAAAATTGCAATATATCAACTTGTTGAAATTGTTCTCCAAAAATCTATCAAATTTTCCAAAAGAAAACATCAACCTAATTTAAATATGTAAACCTAATAAAAGAAAAAACCCCCCAAATTGCATATGATTAATCGACTAGTCTTCACCAGCTGACGTGGACGACAGAAGAGAAGAAGAAACGAACGGTCGTAGAGAGGGCGTGCAACGGCGGAAGGTGAAATTTGTGGCGGAGGCAGGTTTGTGGGCGGATGGGGCGGTGTTGTTGGTTATTACCGGATGTGGTTCCGACTGGTTCAGCGACGACGAAGGAAGAATTTTGCGACAGAGGCGGTGCTGTGGGCGGAGGGACTGCCAAAGCAGGTGGCGGATTGGGTGGAGCTGTTGTTTGTGATTCCTGTGGTTTCATTTGATGGCGGCAACGGAACCGGCATCGGTGGTCTTTTAAGATTTCGGGCGGCGGTTGCGAGAGGCGTGCTAGTAGCTAGTGACGGGTGGTAGTCCAGCAACGGTGGCGGCAGACGTGCTCTTTGTGTGTTTGTATGTGTGTGCATGAGTGTGTGTATCGTGTGTGTTTGTGCGTATGGTGTGAGAGAAGGAAAAGCAGGTGGGGTGGGGCCCATAGTGGTGGGTGAGTTTGTAATCTATAATGACTAATTTATCCTTACTTCATAGTCAAATGTATCATTTGACCACTATATGTATATTTATTTATCATATTGCCATTAATGATTGACCATTATTTATTAAATGTTGACTTCATCCTAACCATTAATATGATACATCCAATTATCCAAATTCATTCTTATTTCTTTCACTATCCTCCTTTCTCATATGATATATATATATATATATATATATATATATATATACTAGTTGTCTCACGCCGTGCACGCACGGCGAACTCAAATTCAGTCTAAATATATATTGAAAATTTGTTATCACTTGTAATGAGCAGTCGAATAAAAATTGTCCCTAACGTTGTGTTCCGACATCGTAGATAAATTTTTTGCACTCTATTATTCTCTTTGTAATGGACATGAACAAAATTTTGTCATGTTCAATGTCCAAAACCAAGAGCAACAAACATAGTATATTATATTACACATACAGTTTGAACGAATGAAATAGCATAAAGTAAGAATGGTGCCAAAATCACAGCTCTCTCTTTCTATCTCTAAAAAATGTCTATTCGACACAATTTATGTACCAATTTATGAAAAGAAAAAACATGAATTGTTGGAATTCAACTTACATGGACAAATCATGGTTTCTCAAGATCCTTCCTTGCTGACATCACCTTCAAGACTCATCAACTATTCAACTACAACATAAATTTTGTCATCCCTTTGAACACCACACTATAAAATTTAGCAAATAAATTTTCCCTTTAATGTGTATTTTCTCGATGTCTTGTTTCAAAATGCAATTTTCTGATCCTTTTCTTTTATTCCTAGTATTTTCAATGTGTGTTTTCTCGATGTCTTGTTTCAGAATGCATTTTCATAATCCGTTTTTTTTTTCTTTTCTTTTCTATTAAGAGTAGTACTTTACAAAATCTAATAGTACTTTCCATCCTTAGTACTTTCCACAATGACCCGAATATCCAATAGGATCGCGAACCTACCAACAACAGAAAAAACAAATTTGTTGTTTAAAACAAGTAATTTATTAAATGACAACCCACAATATAATCATCAACTAATAAAGCAACCAAATATATATCAAACAATAAACGTACTAAATTAGTTCATGTTAAAAATATTATGAAGAGTGCATAACTCGTATATTTAGATTGTAATAAAGTTCTATAATACCAATCAATTTTTCTTTTATATAAACGAAAAGATATAAGTAATAAGACCCAAAATAAAAAAAGAAAAAAAAAAAGACAAGAGTACAAAACATCAACAATATGCACGAGCTGTAAAACATATGATAAGTATCATCCTTTCTCAACAACTCCATTTGAGGATACAAAGTAGCATCTAAATGTAAAGCAATATTCTCCCCGCAATTCAATCTATTCCGCAAAAAAAATTGCCTAATCCATTTTATTAATTATATTCTAAAACTTATATTTCTCCTACACAATTTTCTCCCCAAAAAAATGGTCAAAATTTTCACTATATTTCTCACAAAGAAAAATATGTTTTCTAAATCCACAATCCTGGAGTACAATTCATCTTTTGGATAATACATTTCATGGTCTTGGATTTTCAACTTTGTTGGGCGTCAGCTTGGCCGCCGATTTTTCATGTCCGCCATCACAATCTTCGTCCCTCTCTTTGCCTTCACTCTCAGCACGTCCATGTTCTCATGCTCTACCACCCCTGTCATCCTCAGCTTCACCATCTTCTCCTCCACCGCCAACCGTGACTTCAAAGCCTATCAGGTAGAAAATTAAACCTTGAAAAACAAAGTTCGGCTTACCAAATTCTGCCAAGTGAATTTCAGATTCATCTAATCAAGTAAGTGTGTGTTTTTTATTTGAAAATCTCTGAAAATCTAATTTTACTAATCCACAATTAACATATGTGAGAACCACCCAAAAAAAAAAAGAACACACACACACAACCCATGAACATAGGCTTATCTACGATAAACTCTACCATCTTTCAAATTGCTAATTACCGCTCAGAAAGTGTTACCAACAAAATACCCATGATCAAGAGCTCAACTTATAGAACACATTGAAACAAAAACCTACATTTTCCTTTTCAAAACTAAGATAAACTCAAACTGAATCACCAAGCAAATAACCACAAAACCAGCAACATAAATAAGATCATCACATTCAGGCATAAATTTTTCAGCAACACATATGCAAAAAATATACAATATACCTTGTATCTATTCACAAGATCTTTCCATTTGCCCTTGCACTGATCATGTGTGGAGTCCCCCTTTTCCCTCATCCCATTAGCGACAGCTTCCGACAAATTCTTGTCCCTTTCCACCGTCGCTAACTGAACCCTAATTTCAATTACATAACCGAATTTTACAAAAGAAATATAAGAAACTTATACTCGTAATATTCCCCTAACTGAGCTTGGCCCTCACATTATAAACATGCTTAGGCGTAGATGAAAGCTGGGGATTCGTCTTCCTGAGCTTCTTCACGTCAATTACTAAAAAGAATTTTAACTCTAAAACTCTGATTATCCAGCAATGCAAGAGAAGCTAGTACGAAAACATACCAATGATCAACAAGTACAAATTAAGATAAATTAGAACCTATAACTGAATGCCTAATTCTCACAAGGAGAAAATCATCAAAAAATACAGACCAATTAGTAATGAATATAAAAATAATGATATTTTACATTGAGGTTCGTAAGGTTGATCAGAAGCTTTGTCAATAAATTTCCCTCCATGTCTTCCTCTCAAAAGAATCAGCAACACGGATGGAGATCATTGATGGATGAAAGCTAGGTGTGTTAAAATCCTTTATGCACTGGCTCAACAGGTTGATCACACCGATTTGGACCACTTCCTGAGCACTTCTTGTGACATGAGGTTGATCGATGTAAACCAAACCGATAAGGTGACCCTTTCAAGTCGAACCAGCAGGTCATTCCAATTCACAAAATCATTATCTGGCCTCACAAGATTGTCACATTCATTGTTCTCAATACATTTACTTTCAAGCAGAATATATATAACTGTTTTAAACATCTAGAAAAAATGAATAACTATGTATAAAAAAAAATAAGATTATTCAATTGAATAGAACTCCAGATCAATGACATTTTGTCTATTTGGCTTCCATTAACGCCACAAGTCCACAGCTTTAGAGAAACTTATCAAAAGTTAAATATTACATAGCAAACAAGAATTGCTTTTGTATATGCTGCAATAGCACAAAATTATCAGCCGAACTCGAAAGGAAATGGTCAAAAGAGCATCATGCCTAATCAAAATATTTTTCGCTAAATTAAATTTTCTTTGGAAACCTATTTGCATATGTTTTGAAATTTTACGTGTAAATTGCAGACACTATAATCTATCGGGACTTAATTTTCAAAACATGAATCATGAGATCCTTCAATAGGCTCTAGTAGTTATTATTGTCACGGCTGACATTCAAAAGCTCCTTCGATGCTTCCTCCTTCATGGAATTCACCAAATCATCCTACTTGGGACAAGAAAATCAAATCTCTTCCAAATATGATTGCGTTCATAGTATAAAAAAAAAAAAAAAAAAAAAAAAAAAAAAACGGCAAACCTCACGCGGTAAATAATAAAACCACCGTCCTACTCTCTACAGCCTTTGGCAATTTATAACTAAAGAAAAGGTTCTTATTGAGTCTGCTTCAAAGCTCGCAATCACAAGAAACCCAGCACATAATTAAGAAAATAAATGAAGAAGTTTCAAACCTCGCCAGTGCTGGTGCGTGCGTCCGCGCCAATGACGACACCGCCGCTGTTGTAAGTGACACTGACACCACTGATTGCATCCCACAAATTGGGGATCCTCGCTTCCTGATAAGGCAAGATGAGGCTGGTCCTGCCCACACACCGTCCTCGATCGTCGCTTTAACCATCTCAATCGCCTTTAACCTATTTTCTCCAGCCGACCCGTGTAGCCACCCCGTCGATCTGGTTGTATCCACCACGCGATTGTCGGCCCCGTGAGCCTGTGTAATTGTGGGTGCTCTGTGTAAGAAAAGGAGAGAAATTTCTGAATTGTGACTTATTTGCGTGTGGGAGAGATTGTGTAGTTGGATAATTTTATGGTCGCCTTCTCATCTTCCTCTGTACCTTTCGGTGCGTGAATGTTGTATGGTGAAGTAGCGTGCGGAAGTGACAAAAAAATTTCGGATGGGAAGTTACTGATATTGTTGAATAGAAAATCCGGATAAGAGAGAAAAGTATGTCGGTCTACAGAAAAAATTGTACTTGTTTTATGTAATTTCATAATTTGCAAAAAACAAACATTGGAAAGAAAAAAAAAAGTGAATCCAATGGTAAAACTGTAATAAATTGTGGACACTTGTCAGCTATTGAGAGTGTCTAAATTGGACACTTGTCACTACCACAATTAGTCTAACTCTTTCATATATAGATAAGAGAGATACATGATAAGTATATTATTTTTCACATAAATTCATACAATTATATCAACATAATAATTATATCACTCTTTCTACTAATAATTCACTACAAAGTATACTCTTTTTTACACTTTTGTATAATAATTTTTTTTAAATAAATTGAATGAATGAAAAATATTTGAAAACATAAAAATTGGTAATTCTTGAAAAAGAAGTCCATATAAGATACGCTCAATGGAAAGAAAGAATACCAAAGTTATTAGTATTGAGTCAATCATTAATGAAATTCATGATTTGAGAGAGCGTTCAATAAAAGTTTGTTATTGTCAAGGTTTGAAACTTTATAATTCATATTGCACTATTTATATATATATATATTTTTATAATACAACTTTTTATTTTTTTGTACATTAATTAAAATTTATAATTATTAAAAAATATATAACCCCTCAAAATAAATTTCTAAATCCACCACTGCAAGTGTAAGTCCAATGAAAATCACTTCACTTTAAGGTCCTATTTTCTCTTTAAATCCATAAAATTCATAGGAGGGAAAAATGGAAAATATAGGACACTGAGTCACTGACAGTGACACCATTTTTTCAACTTTCCCTTTGTAGTTCAAAAGTGTTAAAGAAGCATTAATGGAGAGAAATGATCACTCCGCCGATCGCCGACACTAATTCCAACCGTCCCATAAACTAAAAAGAAAAAAAAAAAAAGCATGTTTATGGATTTATAAAAGCCGTGGAAATTTGTAAACCATGATCTTGACATGAATGCAATCGTCCCACAAAAGGACACATTTTATTACATCCTTCCAACCCAGTTGTCCAAATATTGTGTCTGTCTTTCTTTATGTGTGCCAGCCAGTTAATAATGCCCACACTGTTTTAGCTTTTGTCAGTTAATCTTCACATCTCACTTTAGCATTCATTTCCCTCCAATTTGTTCTATCTGCCCCAAAAGGAAATTAAAAAAGAAAAAAAAAAGCAAGATAAATGAGAGCTATCTCAGCTGCAAAGTGTTTTTCGCTATGCACACTCTTAATAATAATTTTATTTTTCCAGATCTCCTATTCCAATGTCACCTATGACAAAAAGGCTCTCATCATCAATGGAAAGAAAAAAATATTATTTTCAGGCTCAATCCATTATCCTAGAAGTACCCCTGATGTAATTGAAATTTTCAGTTTTTTGCTTGAACATTTTTATTTTAATTTGGTGGTGATTGCATTGTTTGTTAATTGAAATTATTAAATTCTCACAATGCAGATGTGGGCGGATCTTATTCAAAAGGCTAAAGATGGAGGATTAGATTGTATAGATAGTTATGTATTTTGGGGCGGTCATGAAACCTCACCAGGAAAAGTACGGTTTATTTTTTTTTTTCTTTTCCTCACAAAATCTAGAAAAAATAAATAAATAAATTTTTTTTTTTTTTTCCTTTTCCCCAATAATACTTTCCATTTTTCTTTAATTTCCAGTACTATTTTGAGGAAAGATATGATTTAGTGCGGTTCGTAAAGTTGGTCCAGCAAGCAGGGATGTTCATGATTCTCCGCATTGGGCCTTATGTATGTGCAGAATGGAATTTTGGGTATGGATATTATACATTAATTCCTTTCATTTCTATTTTGAAAAAAAATAAATCAATAAATAAACTAAATGATCTTTTTTTTAATGCTTTATTTATGTTGTATTTTGGGTTTCAGAGGGTTCCCTGTTTGGTTGAAGTATGTACCAGGCATTGCCTTCAGAACCGACAATGAACCTTTCAAGGTGCGTTTGCTAATTTTGCACAAACTTACTTTTGCTTGAATCTCAGTAAAAAAAATTAATTTGATGTAAAATTATAAAATTTTCTGGGCATTTTCAGATGGCAATGCAAAAATTTACCACAAAAATCGTCCAAATGTTGAAGGATGAAAAGCTGTTCCAATCTCAAGGTGGCCCAATTATCTTCTCCCAGGCATGTGTTGGAATTGTTTCATGTGAAATTGTACATTTAATGGGTTAAATGACAAGAATGGTTTGTTTTAATTATTTTTTAGTAGGCAATAAATAATTAATTTACATTGGCTATATATATTTTAGATTGAAAATGAGTATGGTTTACAAAGCAAGGGTTATGGTAGAGCTGGACATGCTTACATGAACTGGGCTGCTAAAATGGCTGTCGGCTTAAATACAGGCGTGCCATGGGTTATGTGTAAGGAGGATGATGCCCCAGAACCAGTGGTAATTTATACTTTTTCCGATATTTATAAACTGACCCCTGAGGTTTAGCTTAACTTCAAAAAGCTGCTGTGATAGACTGAAAGTTAGCATTTATAACACAAAACGAAATATCAAGGGGATGGTTGCGACATCAGAATAATTAAAGGGCTTTTTTTGCAATTAAGCTTAACCTCGAGGGTGGTTTGATGATTTTCCTCACCTATCTATAGCAAAAGGAAAATTTCTAGGGGGCTATTTGCAATTTTAGATAAATAGACGGTACTTTTTTCAATTAAGTCAAAGCCCTTTTGTATTTGTGAATTTCAAAGAAAGTTAGGCTGAGTAAAATGACAACCACTTGAAGTAAACAACTATTTCTAAATTTGTTTTTGTTTGACAGATTAACTCATGCAATGGTTTTTACTGTGATTATTTCTCACCAAATAAACCTTACAAGCCCACCATATGGACCGAGGCTTGGACTGGCTGGTATCTTCATTATATATATGAATCTGTAAACTTTTTGGTGAACCAAAAAATGTATGTAATAACTGTTTATATTCAAGGTTTGAGGTTTTTGGTGGGCCAATTCATCATCGACCAGTTGAAGACTTGGCATTTGCTGTTGCTAGGTTCATCCAGAAAGGAGGTTCCTTTGTGAATTACTACATGGTAAACAAAAGTTACCGTAATTATATAATACGGAATCACAACATTTGTATAAGGACATTTATGTTAGTAATATTTGTGTTTAGAACAGAACAATCTGAATATCTGAAGAATGAAAATATTATTCGGACAAAACAAGTTAAAGAAAAAATATTGAGGTTTAAGTGGCTACTAAAATATGAGATGAAAAAACTTCTAATTTGTCTGAATATTTTATGTTTATTCTTATTAATTATTCTCTGGTTTTATTAAAACTAGTATCATGGAGGAACAAACTTTGGAAGAACAGCTGGAGGACCTTTTATTACGACCAGCTACGACTATGATGCTCCTATTGATGAATATGGTTTGATGACATCAGCTAATTTCGAATTCACTTGTTTTAGACAGCGTGAGCCAAAAATTTTAAATAGTTTTGCTTCTAAATCTGCAGGGTTACTCAGACAACACAAATATATGCATCTAAAGGAGCTTCATATAGCAATCAAGTCATGCGGGAATGCCTTAACAGATGCTGATCCAAAAATTACTTCTCTAGGAAACTATGAACAGGTTTCTTGTATTGTCTTGTCATAGTATTCAATCTTCAGAATTCAATTGGCAAGAATGGTAGAAACTAATATTTTGCTTTTTTACTCGCATAAAAGATAAATCGATTTGTTTTGTTTTTCAGGCATACGTGTTTAGCACAAACTCAGGCCAATGTGCAGCATTTTTGTCTAATTTTCACTGGGATCAAAGTGCAACAGTTAAATTCAATAACAGGAACTATCATCTTCCTCCATGGTCGATTAGCATACTCCCAGATTGCAAAAACGTTGCTTTTAATACTGCCACAGTGAGTAATGCCATTGTCTTTCGAGTTTTTAAGTGAAAATGCTCTAACTATTCGTCTAGTTACAAATATTCACAGCGTGTTTGTTTACAAATATATTCGTTCAGAATGAGTTTTTTTGGTTAACAAGAGTTAATTATGACAAAAAAAAGTGGTATGGTTAGTTGGTAGTGGAATTTTGATTTTATATTAAGATAATATTTAAAATAAAATAATTAAAGTTGATTTGATATAAAGTAGGAGAGAAATAATGTGAAATAGTAGTTAGTTAAAATTATGCGAGTGGATGAATAGTAAATTAAAGTTGATGTGATGTGTAAGAATGATTTGTTGATATTATTTAATTATATTGATAATATGGAGGATACTGAAGTTGAAGTTGGGGTAAGTTCAGTTAGATTTTTAGTATGAATTGAGTTTTTCTCTATACAAACGCACCCACATTTTTCACAATTATATAAAACAAATATGTTCGTATTTTGAAATTTCACCTGCAGCTTGTGAGGGATGCTTGTAATCCTGACAGACGCTTTAAAAAAAAAAGTAAACAAATTACATTTTTTGCTTTTTAAGGTAGCAAATTTCTGGCTAGGATATATCTTTTCTTGAACAATACTCTTAATTCAACATAAAATACCCTAAACTTTTTACCATATCCTTTAAAATGTTTCTTTCTGGGCCTACCAGTTTTTGTTTGTATTTATTTATCTTACAATATTAATTTTTGCTCTGTACAGCTTAAATCAAAAACATCTCAGGCACAAATGCTGCCCACAGAGACACAAAACTTATCTTGGGAATCATTGAATGAGGATATATCATCCTATGATTCGGATCCAACATTCACGGTCAATGGTCTTTTGGAGCAATTGAACATCACTAGAGATACTACTGATTACCTTTGGTACATGACCAGGTAAAAAGAATAAATAAAAATAGAAGAAAATTGGCTTTGCATGGAAAATGGGGGCCGACGCAAAAAAATAAAAAATAAAAAAATGATAATAATAAAATAAAATTATGCAAGTTTCTTTTTTGTCCGCAGTTTTGAAATAAGTCCAAACGAATCTTGTCTGCATGGTGGTAAATGGCCAGTTCTATCTGTAGCCTCAGAAGGCGACATGTTGCATGTATTTATAAATGGGCAACCATCAGGTATTGACATGATTATATCATTATTTCTTTACAAAATACCCTCACACAACATGTTGTTTAAAGATAAAAAAAAAAAATAAAAAAAAAGATTGCTAAGGGGGGAGTTTTTATTTAAGAAAGATTGACAAATACCGCACGTTGTCAAATTACTGCAATCAAGAAAATCCCTACAAATTAATTATGCTTGATTTAGTAATAAAATTGTTACAGAGTGTATATTCATGTCTAGGATGGAAATATGCAAATGAATAAAACAGCGATTTTAGAATATAAAGTGTTCACACTAGGGGCGGTACCGTAATTCACCAACTCTTTAAGTGTGAACGCAACAAACCAAGTAATTACGGTACCGCCCCTAGTGTGAACACTCGCAGTATATCGGTACCGCCCGAAGCGGAAAATTCATTTGATATAAAAAAAGAAATAAATTTTGTTATATTGCAGGATCAGCTTTTGGGAGTATAGACAACAGGAAATTCAGTTTCACAAAATCTGTCAACTTGCGCGCTGGAAAGAATAGCATTGCACTACTCAGTGTAGCTGTTGGATTGTCGGTTAGTGTTTATTTAACTCATCAATTTGTTAGCAAGTCATGTTAGATTAACATACAATTTGACATAATACATATGTGGCACGATTTAATTATATTATACATCACATCATCTTTAAAATCAGTAAGTATTCTAATAATGTCAAAACTTTCTATATGCAAGTAGCATTTTAATTTCTGTTAACTGAATTTGCAAGTCCCATTGTAATTTAGCTGCACAATTTCAATTTTCTTTTTCAATTTTGAAGAATACTGGGCATCGTTTTGAAACATATCGACATGGAGTAGATGGGTCTGTAATCTTGCGAGGACTAGACAATGGACAAATGGACTTATCCAGGCAAAAATGGTCTTACAAGGTTCGTGATGACTGCATTATGCCTTTTTCTTTTGTTCGTTACTTGTCAGATCATCAACACATCTTGACCGAGTAAACACGATGTTCATTTTTTTCTTATTACTTTAATTTCTTTTCCTCCCTTTTTCAGGTTGGGCTTAAAGGAGAAACAATGAACTTAGCATCCCCAACTGATGTTTCTTCTTCTATCGATTGGTTAAAAGGATCTTTAGCGGCACAAAACCGAGGGGCACTTACTTGGTACAAGGTACTAATATTCAGAAGCTCAAACTTTGCAAACTGCAGTTTCAAAAGAGTCAAATAAGTAAAGAAAGCATTTCCTCTTTTTGTATATTTTGAAATAGAATGTTTGTTCCTACTTATTTCTAATTTCTAATTTTTTGTGCTTAATTAATTTGGTGCAGACTAATTTCAGCACACCAGCAGGAGATATGCCATTGGCGTTGGATCTTGGTAGCATGGGAAAAGGTGAAGTGTGGGTGAATGGTGAAAGCATCGGTAGATATTGGACGAATTATGCAAAAGGTGAATGCAACAATTGCAGTTATGGAGGGACATTTAGGCAGCCCAAGTGCCAAGATGGATGTGGACAACCAACTCAAAGATGGTAATAACCTCTGTATATATATATATATAGATATAATTGATGGCAAGCTTCAACAAATTTTGTTCAGGCATCAATTAATAAAAATAAGACTTCATTTAATAAAAATCTTTATGACGAGCATTCAAATGATAGTTACACAAGTAAAGCCTTATTATTATTAATTTTTTTTTTTATTTTGTAACAACTTTACAAGATTTTTTAAATTTTCGAAATTTGCAATATTAAATAATTTTATAGTTAATATTCCTATTTTGTATTATAGTTATACAATAACAAAAAAAAAAGAACAAAAAAATGATTTATATGGAAAATAAATAATTTATATTTATATTATACATTTACATATAGCCAAATTTTTAAAATGTAATATACACTTTATCTAATTTAAATTTTTAAATATCATATACGTACATGTAATATATAAATTTTTGTTTTATTCTGTGTATGTGCACATGATCGAATACTAGTATATATAATCATCAAAGGATCTCTACACTATTGATCCAAATACAAATTAAAAAAAAAAAAGAACAGAAAAAAAAAATTGTTATCATTAATTAATAATGGGACATTTGTAATTTTGAATTGAGTAATTTATGTAATATTTGGACATCCATCCATCTCTTAGGTATCATGTTCCTCGGTACTGGCTGAAGTCTGATGACTCTGCCCAAAATGTCTTGGTAGTTTTCGAGGAACTTGGTGGAGATGCTTCAAAGATTTCTCTTGTTCAAAGATCAGTTACATACCTATAAAGATGAAAAGTAAAGGGCCTCTCACTTGGCATTATTTATGTATGTATTATTATACAAAGTAATTACAAATAATTGGTGAGATTGTGTGTGTGAGCTTTGGTTTGTAATCATCGATTAAGATTTGTTGTGTCAAAAGCATGTTACATTCTTTGGATCTAATGGAAACATGAAAGCATAGTTTGTCATAAAGGAGAATAATTATTATTATCGAAACAATGGAGGAGGATTTAATAACTGTTTCTATCTGATTTTATTCCTTGTATGGTGAATGATCCTAGATGAAGGCTTTTCGCTTTCTAACACATTTCAATTCATTAGTATATAGGCTAAGCAAGGGTCGAATATTTATGTAATTCTGATCAACATTTTAACACATTTTATATTTTGATCAATTCATTATAAAAATAGTCCACCCTTTTTTTTTCTTTTTTCCAAACGGATAAATATATATTCACTCCAAAATCAAAGAGTACAAATAGTCCACCAAAGCCTAGACACTTCAACTGAAGCATAACAAGCTAAAGGGAGTGTGAAGATAACACTACCATCCCCTCACTAGCAGGGGCGAATCTAGCCATCTATATGAGTAGGGGCTTAAAAAAATTTTAAAGTAGCGTAACATTATCTTTTATAAGTAAAAATCAAAGACAAAAAGAAATAAAAATAATATTTTAAGTAAAAAATAAAAAGCAAAAACATAAAATTTTCAAGACAATAATAATTTCACATTTTCTTGATATGACCATTTTAAAGGTTTTATTCATCCGCTCTATGAAAGTTTAAAAAAAAAATAGTTATACATTCAAATTAAACATCTCTTACTATTTTAGCACCTATACATTAATAAATATCTATTACAAATTTCTCTTAGATTTAAAAACAACAATAAATAAAATATTCAAACCATATGTGTTGACCTAATAGAAAGAAAAACAATCAAAGGGACTAATTATCAGATATTAATTACAAACAAATTAATTGTATAGCATATAATATCAGGAAAATTAAAATTTGCAGTTAAAATTACCAATCAATAAATGAAGTGAAGTATAAAATAAGAGTTATATTCCATTAATTTTCAAGAATTATTGATAAAAGAAATATATTTTCAACTTATTTTTATTATATAGATATTTTTTTTTTCTCTCTTCTTCCTAAATCTACTTTTCTTACCATGTTTTTTAGATAAGCTTATTTTACTCAAGTTACTAGGACCTTTGAGATGTTATGTTCACTTTGTATTTTTGAGTCTGGGCCTAGGCCCACACTGGTTCTCAAGTAGCTACGCCCCTGCTCACTAGACTACCTAACCAAACTGCGGGAAAAGAAAGAACAACCCATATTTACATGAAAACAGAGTCTACTACCTAAAATAAAAAGAAAATACTAACTGCTAAACTAATAGATACAAAATATATTACAGAAGACAGCAGCCATAGGTAGCCCATAAATGCATCCTCCATCCCATCCTCTATCAAATTCTGGTTGAGATTAATAACAACAGCTGAGGAACAAAGATGTCCCACCCAGTTCCTATTACCTCAACAACAAGCCATAGCCAAGTTCATAACAGAAGAAATTAAGCACTGACAATAACAAGATTGCACTACCATTACTCCTTCCCAGCCCAACAGTCAACCTCCCTTAGTTCAGTAATTTGACATCTGAGAACTCCTGCCATTCTTTTAATGCTCCTTCTGCTGTCTCCTTTTCATTCACCCAAGTTTTTTTGAAGATCCAACAATTTCGGGTTTTCCACTGCCACCAAAGGATATAAGTTGTGAGTTCAATTCTATCCTTTAAGCAGCTGCCATCTTTGATCAAGCAGATTTCTCCCCACCACAATTGAAATGAATATTCCAGCCTTTTTAAGCCTTACCATTCCAGTCCACCTATCTTCCATACACACTGAGCTCTTTTTCACTTGAATAATATATGCTCCAGGTCTTCTTCCACCTCCCCAAATAAGCTGGATATGTTGTTTCCTTGAACCCCTCTTTTTTTGAGCTGATCTTTGGTAGCCAAGAACCTGTGCCAACACCTCCAGATAAACATTTTAATTTTATTAACATTCAAACCCCAGGTTTTCTTCAGCAGCTTAAGACTACTACTAGAGCCAGGTCTCCCAACATTATTCTCCATCTTCTCTTCTAACAGTTTGTAAGCAGATTTGACTGTGAACTTCCCATTAGAATTAGGATGCCACATTGCTCTATCTTTCTGCCCTTTTTGAGGTTTAGGCAATTGAAGGATTTGCCTAGCATCAGCAGGGTGGAAAGTTTGTTCAATGAGGTCCCTATTCCCCTTCCTCACCTTTTTTGTAACGCCCCGTTCAGTTAATAAATAGAACCGATTCACTTTGCTAGATTTTAAAGTGAAATCAAAAGCGTTTTTTCATTACATTGAGTTAATAGATTAAATGCTATTAATTTCTTAAGTATTTTTCTGTGGCTTATATGATTTAATTGATAAGGATTAAATGATTAGAGATAATTTATTTAGACAAGAAGGTTTAATAAGAGTATATTTGAATTTATATTTAAAATATTCGAGTTTTTTCGGTTTTAGATTGTAGTCAGAATTTATGTCTGATTTCAGTTCCATAAAAATTATATTTCTCAATATATATATTTTAGTAGACATCAAGATGAACTTTAGAATATATTTTCAAAGAGGAAATTAGAACAGTTTTAGATTAAATTTTAAAAAGTTGTAAGTGATATTGTTTTTGGTTGAAAAAAATATATAATAAAGTGTTAATTTAAATCATATTATTCTCATGAAAAATTTCTTGATATTGATATATATATCATGTGATATGTTGACACATCATAAGAATAAAATTTTTGCAGCATAAAATGGATAAACACAAAAAGCAAAAGAAAGAAATTGAAAATTTTTGATTTTTCGGTAAACGATCGTTTTAAATCAAAATTCGGTTCTGTAAATTCTATATTTTTCATTAAGTCACGAATTTTATCATGGAAATCAGACTAGGATCACATGATGGCCCTTTCTAAGTGTTTACTATAGTTTGGAGAAGTTTACAAGTTATGATTTCCATTCTTTATCTTTATTTATTATTATCAAATTTTTTAAAGTATTCTTAAGTAATAAATGAGCCATTTTAGATACATTTCGAGCCATATTCAGATGTGGTCAAAGAGAGGAGTTTTGTCTTGATATATACAAGAGAAATCATGCATTACAAGTACTTATCAATGTTTAATCATCTTTGTGCAAGATTTTAGAAAAAATTTAATGGCAAGGGCCCTAATGTGCAGGATGGAGTGTTGAGGTAAATAAGGTGATGTTGTCTCCTTTTCTACCTTATATAAAGAGGCATTAGCATAGACTCAAAATTCACACCAAATTAAGCAAAGTCTTAGCTAGATAGCGAGAAAAACGAGAGAAAACGAGAGAAATCTTGTCGGAGATAGGTTGAGATCAACTTTTGATTTTTCGAGGCTATTGAAGAAGGTAAACTACTAATCATATTTATATGCTTTGGAGATGAGATTAGGTGTTTATTGATGTATATTAAAGTCTTATAAGTTCAGTTTATAATCACTTATAAGCATGCAAAAAGTTAAACTAGTTCCTAGCTAGTATAAATGTGATATGTGCTCTGTTTTAATGCATTTTTGAGTATGATATGCATAAACTGAGAAAGTATGATTTAAATGAGTATTTCTTATGTAAATGAGGAGTACATATGAACAAGAATCATGTTATTTGGTTAAGTATAACTCGAGTTTCATATTTTCGAAGTAAATCAAATTTTTATGTAAAATTTCAGCTGCGTAATTTGAACTCGACTAAGTCCATATATGTGCATGAGAAAATGTAAAATTTTAATGACATGTCTACATATATGTTGAGAGTATGCATGCAAAATTTCAGAATTTTATGTTGAGAAATGAGTAAGTTAAAAATGTTACACCGCATGCATATCAAGCTGAATTTAAATGTGATAGTACAAGCAAGCTTTTAAGATGAAACTTTTATGAATAATTTTTGTATGACTTTTGGTCAAAATGGCCAAGTTTCAACTTGATATGATAAGTATTTGAATTTATAAAATTATTTGAAGTTAGTTGTAAAATTGACTAAATTTTAATATTTGAATGGATTGAGCTATTGAAGTGCTTTTGAGCTAATATTTTATCAAAGAGTATATGAATATATCTACTATGTAACTGCCAAGTTTCATAATTTTTAGAGCTATATCTAATTTTTGAGAAAAGATACTTGATATATTTGCTTGTATATGCTGGTGGTCGTGGAGAGTCGAGCCTCCATAAGTTACATCAATTATTCAGCACTTGCAAAGTCCTTTCAACATATTAGGTGGGGACCCATACAAGGTGTTACACTGAGCATATTCTATTATTATGTATGAGGTATGTGAGAAAATTTTGTTTTCTACACATTTGTCTAATTTTATTTGTAAAACCCTGAAACGCCAATATTATTATCTGTATTCAAGGATTTATTCATTCCACTTGCCGTTACAGCTATCTATGTATTTATTGTTATAATATTGTGCATGAGGAGTATGAGGAGAATAAAATAATATATGTGAATGACTATTTTGCCCTGATGTAATTGTATTATTACGATTGTGCCATCAGAAGTTTTTCTATAAATAGGAGCTTCAGTTATAATGAAAATACAACCAAGAGAAAGCATTCTCTATATTCTCTCTTTTCTCTCTAGTTTTATAACACGTTATCAGCACGAGTCTCTACCCTTTAGAGCTCGATTTGTAATATAACGAGAGTATGCTCTACAGTTGCGTCTTATAGACGATCTTCTGTATCAGAAATTAGAATATTACAAATCGTTATTTTCTCCAAACAATTTTTCCTATCACTCATGGGGAGCTTATGAACTTCATGTTCTACCTTTAGCCATTTCAATTATTTTCTTTTCAGCCCATAATATGCTTCAATTGATACACACAATATTCAAGAACCATTTAAACAAAAGTAATCTTTTGTTTCCCAAAATGAAAAATGAAAAGTGAGAAGGTACAAAATAAAAAGAGCTCCTCATAGCTGTTCTGTGTGAAATAAGAATGGTGATCTTATTTCACATAAACCGAGTATCTAGAGCTTCATGTATTTGACTCGAGTCAGACTCCATCGACGAGCTAGCTCATCCAACAACAAAATAGGCATAAGAATAGCCCGAGCAATTGAAATCTTTTGCTTATGGCCGAGTAGAAGTGTTGGACCCCTCTTGGGGGTTCATAGTGGTGGCATAGCAAAGAGTG